ACAAAACAAAGTATTTTTATTATGATTCGTAACCCATTATCTATTATATGTGCTTCACGAATATGGTATAATATAAGCTGTGATCATATCACTCGTGCAAAGTGGCTAATCTTCCACTATGGGAGGTCACATGCATTATTTAACGCAGTGAAGAAGGGTCCAAAGTTTTTAACCTATGATCAACTTAAAGCTTTGTTTTCTTTAAATATTATTCCATCACGGTATTTTGTCCAGCGTCTAATGTTAGTATTTGGACAGGTAGATTGTGATCTTATCAACATGAAGATAAGAAATGAAATATCAGATTATGATATGTCTCTAGTAAAAAAAACTAAAAGTTCTTGGGCTGAAGATGTGGATTTTAATGTTCTTAATTGCATATTAACGAAAGCTCATGAGCTTTATGGTAAAGAAAATCTAAAGATTAGGGGAAATGATATGGAATTGTTCCATTTCCTATCCGGGGGACCTCAAAATTTGACCAATGCGAAGAATATTCTAGAAAACAACTATGATAAGATCTCTGAGCTTATTGGTATATATAGATTTATTCCATTTCCTAGAAGACCAAATTCCTCAGGTGGAACTACTGAATCATATCCATCACTAGACGGATATGAAAATAATCGACAAATGAATATTATAGCACGAGCTATCTTATTAAGACACGATCTTGTCAAAGTATGGGAAAGCATGGGGTATGGAGATATAGTTACAGATACAAATGATCTTGTACTCCAGGGTCAATTTCTTCTATGCTACCCACCTGGTTCAACATTTAATTATAGTATAGATATTATTCTAGATAAGTTTAATTATCTGTACAAACTCGGATATAGACTTAATATACCTTTATTTAGTGAAATAATATTACTATTTATGAGATCTATTGATTCGATTGGAAATGATATACTCCAAATATGTTCTAAGCTAATGAATCGTACTGCAAAAGATGTATTATTAGATTTTTTAAGATTAAGCATGTTTTCAGAACGAGATTTTATATTGGCACAGAATTTCTATATAAGTAAATATATATATGTTAAGGAAGCATTTATGAACAGTTTAGTACAAGATCTCCACTTCCTTTTTCAGAAACTAGAAAGTATACTAAGGAGCACATACGAAAAGAGAGATATTAATATCCAATTAAAAGAGATATTACCATTTAAGAAGAACTTTCTAAAGTGGGTATTGACAACATATAATACCACATCAAACATTGTTAATGAATACTTTAATTTTATTCTACATCTACGAGTTATCATTAATATATTCGAGGGATCATTTGCAAATGGAATGCCTCTTGGATTTTCCATGCAGGATATCGAAATGATCAAAGAATTATTTCAATATTTTGTGTATTTC